TTCTGAAGTACGCCTTTCAATGACAGACTGCTACAGAATCTCGCGGTCTACCGAGTCAAATGCTGCTTTTAAGTCAAGAAAGACCACTATTGTCAAACGCCTATGAGTATGCCTGTGTTCTTGAACCTGACGAATGGTGAATATGTGGTCAATACAGCCACGACCAGGTCTGAAGCCAGCTTGATTCTCTCGTGTTTGCAGTTCACGAGTCTTTGCAACGCGTCCGATAATTATTGATTCTAGTAATTTAGATGCTATGTTAGTCAAACTAATCCCTTTATGGTTGTCACAAGATGATTATGACCTTCTCTTATATATTGGGATGATAAGTGATTGTGACCAGTCAGATGGGATTTTAGCTAAAATATTAGTCAACCTAATCGCTAAAATTGGACCACCATCCTTAAAGACCTCTGAAGCCAATCCATCTGGACCAGCTGCCCTTCCTCGTTTCAGATTAACTATAGCCTTTTGAACTTCAGCTACAGTCGGGGACCTACTTCAATGTTCCATTCACACTGTCTGGAAATGGAGGGTAGTTGTATAGTAGCTGAAAGCCAGCGCAACTGTTCTCTAAAATGTTCCACCCATCGTTCTAAACGTCTGGACTGGGAGTAGATAGGAATGTCGTCCTTTTCCGAGATAGTCTCACTTACACTTGAATTTTTAGTTCCAGTTTTTTTTGTTAGTCTAAAAAGCTCTCTGATGTTACCTACAGCCACTACCTTTTCCATCTTTTTTGCTTTTGTTGCTGACCACTTCTCACGGTCGTTCTTTAGACTGTTGGTCAACCTTGATCTGATTTGCTTTCGCTCTTCATCGTGTTCAGAGCCTGACGGGACGAGTTTACGAGAATCTATCAGTACAATGGACCTTGAAGAAATCCATTGGTTCTTTTAACCCTGTGGTTTAAGTACTAATAGATGTCACTGCTTTTTCCACAGCTGTTTGTATATCTTTCCAATCAACATCTGGGTCAGCCTCGTTTTCAGAACTACCTAAGTGTGACCTCAGTTGTTCCTGGAATCTACATTTGGTTTTCTCGCTACTCAATTCACTTCTAATGGCTCATTTTAGTGTTGCTTTTTTGCGTCCAGTGAGGCGCAAGCAGATGCGTGCTCGTATTAGAGCATAGTCGGAGTCTAAGCAGGTATTTCAAAATGAGCGAAAATCTTCCATCGATCCATTTAGCCGAACAGCACATAAACGACTGTTAACGGGGCCCCACTCTAACAGCGCTTGTTCCGCCCCCATGCTTAGTGCTATGCCCACACCTGCCAGTCCACAAGAACTGGTCATCGGGTCTCCAGATACACGGAGGGTTTAACTCGTCGGCTCTCCCTTTTGCCGAGGTGAGGTCAAGTGAATGACCACACTGAGATCTTGTATGCGTGCTTCGGAGACACAGCATAAATCAATGGTACGAGATTCTAGGGTTCTAGCCAAGGAGGGCCGCTGACCGATTTGACATAGTGTGCGTGAGTTGAAGGCTGAAATGTGTAGTTTGGAGCGTGGTTTCAATAGACCTGGGAATGTTTTGCGCACTAGAATCGTTGGTTATGGTGACACTTGAGGAAGAAGCCGATAAAGGAAGTTTAGAGTTGAAAGTCGATGTAGGAGGAATAATAGGAATTAAAGAGGGAGGTTGATTATGAATAAAGTGGTCTTGAGTGCTGTTAGAGGTATGAGGCCGATTATCACTTCCCTGTTGCCCACACCGTGGAAGGGTTCTTCTGGAGGTACCTGAAAAGGAAATTGGATTATACGTGGTCTTAGTGACCTGAGAGTGTGACTGCAGTGCCCAAAGTACAACTGCTTGAGGTCGGGCACACACGACCTTTTTATGGGTAATTTTTGTGTTAGCTCCGTACTTATTGAGACCTTAACGTCGGAGACGGATATCCGTGGATATGGTGAGGTGTGCATTTTTAAAGTCGACCTTTTCAAACCCCACCCTTCCTTGTGGGAAGGCAGCATCGCTGCAGATGCTGGTTGTCTGAAGAAAACACCTTACTGCCGTCACACCTCTGTACAGTCAGCAGTAGGACTTTGTCTTCGGACCTTGGGTTTACCGCTTTCAGTCTTGTTGTTCTTCAACCGACTTTTCTGACATGGTAGAAACTTGAAAAACGATTGTTCCAGTCAGCATAGCTCGGTTGCTTCATCACGATAGGCAAGTCTGACCACTACATCAAGGTAGCAACAGCGGTCGGGGATTAGAGTAGATTACGTTTAAATTACAATAGCTTCAGAACATAAAAGGCTATGACAATGAATCATACATCAAACGGAAGCTTATGACCTTCGTAATATTCTAGTTTTACAATTGTTGTTGGGATCAGACATTAACACCATTAGATGCAAGCTCAGTTGTCCAGCAGAATAAGCGTTCGCGTACAAGACTGAAGACCCTGGGTTCGCGTCATGCGAGTGGATGCGCACTGCTGATGAGTGTCGCTGAACCGGATGAAACACGCAGTAGACGCCCTAATCCGATATCAACAGACTGGATTATTCCATTGCTTAATTCACGGGAGAATGTCTAACAGCTCAACACACCATTACAAAATCAACCTCAGATTTAGTATAAGGATTATCCTACTGTACGTGTAAAGAAATCTCCGAAATTACCAGGAGGATCTTAAAACGTTTTGGAATCAAAATTCCTTAGAAACCAATATAATCATCCCAATCTATCTTATGTAGAGCAAAAAGCACAAAAGCGAAAGAAGACAAGTTCAATGCCATCAAATAATAAATTGTACAACTGTGACAAACATTACATTCGATAAAGTGAACTTCTTTTTACCCTACGCATATACGTCTACTAACTCTCTCTTAAAGGACGCAATATACTGTCACTGATAGCCATGCTTGTGGACAACTACGGAAATGAATTTAATGTGCGATCATCGATGGTTTGTATCGTAGGAACTCTAAAGCTTGATAATTAGGTGATTCAGCAATCAATAGACACAGATTTATACCTGATCTAACAATCCATTTGAAACAAAATTAAATGTCAACAGAAGTAAACCGTTAACTTGAGCATAAAGACATCTAAAGACAATGAAACATACTGGTAGACTAACTGAAGTGCTTATTTGTACATAAAGAAATATTGGATGATCACTGAGTTGTTAGATATTCGGAGACAGTCAACAGGAAACTACTTTCGATCTATTTGGGTAGCAGCAGACCAATGAAGTGTTCGACATTACATGTAGATATAAGTTGCTATGAACATAAGCTTTGTACAAACTAAACAAGCTCTGAATAGCAAAACGATTGGATGTATCAAACGATGACTATATAATATAATGACTTTATTGTCATTGCTAAAAAACGCAACTTATCTTTTTTGGTATTAGATAATGAGGGTTTGTTGCATTTGCGAAATCTCTCCTTATGGCCAGTTATTCCACATCTTGCTCGTTTATGGTTATTAAATGGGCAGGAACGGGAGAAATGTGATGCCCCGCAGTTCCAACAATTAGTGAGAGGCTTTGTAGAGCGATGTGAATTAAAGTGGTGAACATTATACATTCAATTCGGTAGAGAAGAATTTCGCGAATCATGGTTTGCGAAATTAATAGTGTGTTGGGAAATTTTCATTTAATCAAATGAACTGGGATTTGGATGTTCGATCATTTTTGTATCAATCTTGAGATTAATAATACGACGACATTTATTTGTAATATCAGACTGCATTCTGAGTCTGACGATGATTGCAACTCACATCCAAAATTAGGACACTTAAATTGTTCGTCTGAAAGTGAACGTAAATTGAGGCCTTCACATTGCTTATTAAGAAACGCAGCATATGAAAGTCATCTTCAGGTTTCTTAACAGACCAATTATACGTTCTAATCTGCCCAAGTTAACCTTGAGGCAAAACTTGGGATACTCCTATCGGTCTGTTATCCCCACGCTTTTTCTCTACCGTCTTCTATGAGCCGAGTTTGCCAGCCACCTCATACATTATATCTGAAGCACATGTGGGTTTATGTACCAACATCCTGGATCGCATTACACCGTAAAATAAAAATCATAATTATCCATCAACAAGCCAAAAGTGGCTGTGAACAGCGTAAGCTGTAAATATTTGATTGACAATGAAGTAGAAATAATAATGAGTTAAAGGAAAGCTTTGAGAAGTGAAATCCAGTTATTTAGTAATCATGGGATAAGAATATATATCATAATAATCCACCAACCTTCGCTCTAATACATCAAGTCTCTACACAATTGTGAGGTATATGTTTGTGAAAATAACAACATACACGGGACTAATGTTTTGCCAGAAATCAAACCATAACACTACAACTATTTAGAAAAAAGGCTAGGTGCTCAACTTTATAGTAATATCACTGTGACCCTTTTATCAATTTTCTGTTCGACATAATACTGTTATCTAGAAACCGATTAGTATTAGAACAATTACTTGGAAGATACTACAGCCATATATGTATTTGTAGGTACTACTGTCATCCATCTACTTGCATTGGAGCAGAGGGTTTCCAAACGGTGGTGAAGAAATCGAATGCAACACTTTAAAGTTATGATAATTAAGCTGTCTTGAATAGGATCCATTTATCGGTTACAACTAACCGATCACTCAGTAGTGACCAATGTTGTGTTTACCTAGTCATTGACAATGATCGAATCTTATCGACAGAGTTGAAATGACACTGGTCATTACTCAGTGATCAGTCTAATTGTGAACATTTGTTATACAGGTAGGTCACCACTGGAACAGCTCGATTATAACTTTTGAGATGGTGAAACTAGGTGAAGGGTTCAGACCACATAGGGAACATCAATTCCTTCGGAATCCCACGTATGTCTTACTGATGTGTCAACTAGCATGAAATATAGGTTGAGCCCAGGACCTCATGCCAACTATTCTCCAACCAAATAGTAATTGTTTATTAAGAGTGGAAATAAATCTAAACACCTTATATTATTGGTTAATAACCTCGAGATGAGAACAATGGTGTAAGATTATTTGTAAAAGTATATATTTTTAAATATTCAACAATAGACCGTTGAATGATCAACAACAATAATTAATCCATATGTATGTAAAAAATAGTATACATCTCGTGTGAAGATAAGTAATAAAAACATATTTTTGTGTGGAGAAAATTTCGTTGCTAGGTGTACTACACAAATATGGAACAAAATGTAAGGAAAACAGAAATTCAAGAAGTAAAAAGAGGAACATTCAACAGATTAGCAACAAACGAATTGTCGTGATACAAATGACATTCAGTCAGTCATTTGTACATAGTATGGACCTGGAATTGTTTTGATGAAGCTAGTTGTTGTTCAGTAACATAAACGAGGACTGCCTACCAGCACACACACATAAGTGATAAGCATATAAATCTACGGAAGAGATAGATTGATTTACACGCCGATAAAATAAGTTCATGATAGAGTAATAGTAGAAAAATCACTACGAATATATTTCGTTATTTGGCAAGGAAATTAAGGGAGATGTCTAGACAACCTGTCCTCCTATTCATCATCATCACCATATCAAGAGTAAGGTGAATACAAAGGGATGAAGAACTGAAATGTAGGTGAAAGCGAGAATGAGCACTTAAAGTACTGGGATACACACATATACACCTACACATGCACAATACCAAATATATTTCAATCAAACAATAATTTTGAAATAACATGAAGGTGTACAACAACAGAACAAATATGGAACAGAACACCTGAGTAATACAAAGTCACACAGACAATAGAAGTTGAGCACTTGAAGAGAATAAAGAATACAAGAAAGTTTTTAAAAAAAACAATCTTTGTACAAAAAGAAATTTCTGTAAAAAGGATTCGATGAAGAAAGATGCTTGTTGTCAACGTCAATGGATAAGTGGTACTACATACATATATCGAAATCTATAACTGAATGTGTATGAACATCCGCTTAACAAAGTTTTTTGTTCACCAACCAAATCAAGGCAGATAATGAATGACACGCTAAACATTAGAGATGAAATGCAATAGTAGTAGAAAAGATCAGTGCAATTGGCTGTGTGTCACCAACACATCCTCCTCATTATAGAGTGCAGTTAAATTCATTAAAAAGAACAATAACAAACAGAAGAGATTATAAGACAACGAGGGAAAGGTTGAGTGTATCCTCGACTACAAAATAATGTAACAAAAGTTTTGTCTCTGAAAAGTGTTTGCTACAATTTCGCAATTTGAAATAAGACACGGTTGCTGCCAAATCATTATATATATATATATATATATATATATGAAATACCAATTGATGTTAGTCCTAGAAATATACATACATACATATACATACTGCACATACTGCAAAATGTACATATCAATCAGACATAATAATTTAAAGGCTAGAAATGCAATTTAACGATAGACAATACAATTTATGAAAAAAATATAAATATACACGGAGAAGGATAGAGGAGCGGAACGATGTCTGTGCACAAGTATGTGTGTATTTGCATTCTAAGGAAACAGAGGGAGTTAAAAAACAGGACTGCTAACGAAAGAGTTACATTTTACAGTATAATTATGGTACAACTGGTTTAATTAGACGGTGTAGAAGTAATATTATTGTTGTCAAAATAATGATTACTACTGTCATTAACACCACCGTTCATTAGGTGATCAGTTCGTTGTGATTCTATTGGATTATCACTTAACTGACGATTATCAGGATAGTAGTCAAGTAAGTAAAGACTACTAGTACCAGCCAACGCTAGAGTATTTTCACGTGTGTGCCATGATAAATGAAGCAGTTTACGTGTTAAATCCATACATTCCACATTGACTTTACCCTCAGACCATGATCGAGCGAAAGCACCACTACTACTGGCACTGCTACCCCCGATAGTTCCATCAGATATCACTTGACATGGTTTCAGTTTACCGCATACACTATTTTCCATAGCTTCACGAGATGCTTCCATTAGTAGATCATTCGAGGTACCACGTTCAAATACACGAAAGTAATTATTGTATGAACCGGTGACAACCATACTGTAAAAGCAAAAATGTTGGAAGAACTTTGGCACGGGGAAAAACAACGAAAACAAATCATCCCAAAAAGAATTAATTTTAGTTTAACTTGTAGATAATTTTCACTTTAAAGTAATCAATTAATATGAAGATGATTTTTTTAAAGACTACAGACAATAGCTGATGGCTAACGATTGAAATGGGCTACTGTGCGTTAGGCTGTGTTTTATCACAATTTCAAGACTCTCATACACCCCATGCAATCGACACGTCGATCTGTGATAAAAGTATTCTCAAACTAAAAACTAATCTTCACATCTTACTACTATTACTAAACTAGGAATAATATTGTTAGTTGGATTGACACACATGAGATTTTCAACTTTGGAGCTGTACATACACTTTTTAGTGTTACTGTAATAAAATAGGGGTTCTTCAGCAGAGTTTAGATGTGTGTGTGACCAGTATGTACATAGTCATATGTGACGACAAAATGTTGGGAATAGAACCGGACTGTGGGGGTAACTTTAGTAATTAAAGCATGGAGACGAAGCCCATATTAGGTAGTAAGTAAGAACCCCTTAAAGCCTACCTCGGCTGTGGGCAGCTAAATCGCAGAAGCATTGTTAGTACTTTCGTACAAACGGAATTCCCTATATGCGCATATATATTTCAAGATAGCTCCACATGAACGTGACACAGGATAACAAGAGAACAATAAACTAATTAAAAAATTGGATGGAAACAAATTGATCTATTTATGTTCGAGTGAATTCGTCAAATTTGAGGACGATTTTTAACACGAACAGCAGTGTGTCACAAAGCTGTGGTCATTAGACAAAACACATTTCAAAGTGGTTGGTTCAAAATTTAATACTTTCATTTAACAGTATAATGATTCATTACCAAGAAGAAAATTAAAGAATGAGTCAACCGTTCATAATGAACGTAGAGCCGGGCATAAATGTGTGTTGGCTCAAATCTTCACAAGATTGAATCAACAAAGTGAGTAGGAATAATCATCGCACTAATGGTAATGAGAAAGAGTAAACTTTGGGAATATAGTGTAAAAAGACAAAATGAGAAAGAATACCATAGCTCAAGATCTAGAGAAACATGAGCAGCGAGTGCACCAGCACTACTGATGATTCATGTCACCTGTTTTCAACCACTGGAAGTGATTATCTCATCTACACAAACAAACTTGAGACAGGAGAAAAGATGTTTTTAACACTAAATTTCTACTATTCCAACTTGTTTAATACGCATTGAGATAACCGCAAGCTAGAGTGCAGTAACATACATGACACGCCCTCTACTGTTTCATCCAATGGACATGAACACAACATTAGTAACAAGCATACTCTTATTTACATAACACTTTATATTTAATATCAGAAAGGGGTTTTTGTGGATATTATAGTAATTTAATAATTGATTTCAAGATACAGTTAAAGCTAGACCACAAACGCTCCCAGGTTTTTTATGGTGGTCTAGCTTCAATTGACTCATGATTTCAACTATTAAATTACTTTATATTTAGTTAACGTTCTTTCTTCTTAACAGTGCTGCCACTAATAAACGTTAATAATATACTTAAAATAAATTAGTTATAATTACAACCACAGTTGGCAATTCGATTTCTCATTTGGACCATAAGCAGATTTATTTTTAGTTTTATTCTCCAAGCAATGAGCATGGGATGTTGGACCCTAGTCAATACAGTTCAACTGAATGGTCCTCACAATATAAAAGCTTGGTGATCACTACGTCATGGTATAGAAGCAACAGAGGTAGGGAATATGTTTGAAATTATTGTAATCAAAACACCTTTAACAATCTCACATACATTTCCCAGATTTATATTATTTATTTTGATAATGATCACGTTTTGATTTGGTTAAAAAAAGAATTGTAGGTCTTCACGACTAATCAATACCGAAGTTGGGCTTGATAGATTAAAATAAACTGACCATTGGGTAGAAAGCTAATAATAAATATATTTTTTGCCATATCCCAATGAGTAGAGAAACTATATTTCTGACGTTTCGTGCCTCAACAAAAGTCACTTCTTCAAGGCAAATAAATAACCAAAATAAAAATTGTTCCCTTTGTACTATTTAAACTTGTGTTAATTTATTTCGGTTATTTCTTTATTGAATTATCTACCCATTAGGATATAACAAAAGATATAGTATTATTAGCATAGTTTTGGCATTAGAGTATGGATAACGAAACAGGCACAACTTGCACAAAACTAAATAAGTTTGTGAGTAAAAATCCCTCTCTAAACTGAAGTGATTAAATTTAATCTAATACATAGAATTTCATTCAATACTTGTACTTAAGATCCTATGACAAATGTTTTTCACTTAGAATGATTGACAGTTAATATAGAGTACGTAAGTAGTGGTACGAGAGATAGCAATGTAATGCAACACAACAATAACATGGTACCGTTAAAAACTGTGGATTATTAGTGGAATGTACATGCCAACATGAAATAACATGTTTTCCAGTCATTCATAAATTAATTAATCTATTTTAGTCAACTTAATAATTGCATTTTAAGAAAAACATGTGAATTGAGGAAAATAATCTACCATAAATCGGTCTATGTTAATAACGACTTATTGTGTGGGAGTTGTGGAGCGGTGGGGTATAGTGTGATCGCAATACAAGATAATGTGGGCTTAAACCTTGTTACAGGTCAATTAGTAGCATTGGTCTATACATATGCAAAATGAACGTGGCTCAAGGTTTAACAATACTAGTAGGCTGTATTTATAATTGGGTGTTAGGTTCCCCGCTAAGTTTAAAAACGAAGTGCCCATAGCAACCAGTTTCAATCAGTTTTGAAAACTAACTACATTTTATTAGCTTCATCCATAAATACAAGTTTATTTGTTATGCACGATTTGATTGAACCACATCAAGTTGATTTAAACTATATTATTTAATGATCAAAGCAAAACCATTGACAGGTTTTTAAGTGAAAAAGCTTGAGATTTTTAATTATAACTTTAAAAAAAATGAAGTTTTACCGAATTGGCTAACATGCTTATGTAGAAGACACATTAGTTTTAATTACATAGAGTTGACATTTCGTTAGAACATAACGATAGGACACATATAACATCATAATTACTATGTGAAGTCCATCTTAGCAGGATAGAATCACGACAACTGTAGCCCTACTACAAAAGTGTAAGTCGCAATATGTTGACTAGTCCAGTCAATGTTAGTGGACGGATTGAGAATGTAATACAATTTTTTTTCGATAATTCTAGAATATACAGGATATTACAGAGCAATATTGAAAGATTCGTGGTTCCAGTAATTAATTTTTGTATACACAACCCAATCTGTTATTATGATCGTCTATACCTTCAAATTTTTCCAACTGTCTTCCAAATTTATGTAAAAGATTAAAAAACTCTTCCCTCAAAACGCTATGATAAACCGAAATCTGTTAGTTAGTTTGTATTACAACTACCAAAATGTTTGACCTGAAAGTTCGCCTGATAGACTAGTGAATAAACCTATATAAATAAGTTAATATGGAGAACACACTTCTTAGTTGCTGTTCTAAACTTAAATACTTGATTCAAAGAGCCTCAGATTACCGCTTAGAACTCTAAATTCAAAACTTGGCATCTAAAAAATTGTACTATCGTTCATTCACTAATGTTCAAGTAAAGATAAATCTTAGATTGTTTTAACGCCACATATTGAAAGATGAAAGTATGAACGGCGCATTCTATGAGTGAGCGAATTATTTATCAATCTGAGGTCACCCTCTACATGCCTTTGACCGAGTCACTTAGCACACTTGGGAATTCGAAAAATTTAAGCATCAATATTGGGATCTTGGCAATAAAGCTTCCCACACTGGGTTACTTCTCTCAACATAGAGGATCAGTTGTGTTTAAGAGGCATACTTTAGTAACACCGAATAGCGCCGAGGGACAGAACAGAAAGGTGACGAAAATAAATCTGAATATAGACCATACAGGACGTCCTTACATAACTCAGTATGTTACATTTAGGTACCTCTTCCATATAACCTCAATAAGATTGAGGTTATATGTCATGTTTCTCATGTTCAAGTAGTGTGTTAAACATAGCACTTTTGACTTCTTTCGTTCGTACTGGATTTCGGAGTGCAATTTTGACAAAAATTTCATTTTCGAACTTTAAATCTCATTATATATATATTTTAATCAGGGATGCTGGTCTGTGCTACACTGGCGTATTCACATCGAACATTTTCGGATAACTTATTCATCCACTAAATGAACGGGGAAATAAGCCGAAAGTGCCGTGGCTTCAGTAACATCGTTTTGCTTGAACACTAAAGCATGACAGATCACATCACTTTAACAGCAACACTAAACACGCGAGATGAACTGGTGAACATCCAATTTTCAGAAAAAAAAAACGGTTTAAAATGATCAAACAATTCTACCGCTAATCAATTCCACACTACTTTTATGCAGATTTTGATTGGTCAAGACCTAAATTGATTAGTCCAAGTTAAAAACAAACCAACCAATCAGAGATAAGCATCAGTCATTTCAACAATGCATAACAAGTACACAAATAAAATAATAGCAATAATAATCATCTAGAAAAAAACAATACTGCGGCTGTCATACTAAACAAGTATAATGTTTTTCAGTGATATAATTACTTACACAACATACAGAGAACAAGTGATTTGATAACAATAAATCGATCATTCTATTTACAAAATATTTTGATAACCATGTTGATAGATACTGTTTACGATGAATTCTCCATTATGCATTAATTATTTGGTCAACTTTAGATTGTTATGTTGGTGTGAAGAGAAAATCTCAAATGTGATCTATAATATTATTCCCCGGTTCAAATGTAGATTATGCATAATTGAGTGGATAGGTTTATTTACACCAGGATACTTTGCAATACAACTAAGGTATAAACTCTAATGAAGCTGTTAAACTTTTCAAACCAAAATTAATTAAGTAAATGGCTTTGGGCTCTTAAATCAATGGTCAGAAGCTGACTCATTTAGTCCATTGAGCCACAACTTTATATGTGATAAAAAAAATTAAACTTCAAGATAAATTCTCAAAGTTCTAAACAGAGAGCTATTATCGCTAGAAGTGAAGAATCATATTAAGTGGGATATATATCACCGATCGTTGAGTAATGACATAAATGTGAACCGATATATATATATATATATATACCTTTTCGACTAACCTATTAATTACTACTGTATAACTTACCATTCCTGATCTGTTGCAAGTTTATTATTCAGTCTCCCTTTCTCACAGATACTTTTGGTTTCACCATGTATATTTGTTATTTTTTATTAGATGGTGTGATGTGTGGCATGGCATACTTGCGTATGTCTGCTTAAAATATAATATTCGTTGAAGCTTATCAGTGACAGGGTAGAGAAAGGGGCTACAGAACCGTGGACCAATAAGGGTTGAGAATTCGAATCAAAGTTACTTATAATGGTCGGACGTGTAATTGGTCAGCTCAGGGACATTAAGTCATAGAAGTCAAGATTCTGATTGGTGGTTTCGGCCCTTGATTTTGGCCAGCGGTCATAAGACATAACACCCACAAGACACCAGTAAATCTTGAAGTCAATGAAATGTAACGGATATGTAAGTCCTTTAAGGAACTCTGAAACTAGAATAAAATAGCTGTTCAGTTTAGCCCTGATATACAACGATTTTTCATATAACACGTCCATAATTTCAAAAATAAATAAACTTTTTCTTAAGGCTTTTGCGGGGTGCTTTGAATTCTATGATTTACACCATAAATTGATCTTAGTTGGACAGTTATCAAAAACCAGGAAGCACTGAACAAGTTGTTTCGTTGTAGTATTGGTCTCCTGAGTAGCAGTGTGCGTCCATGGCCTGACTGCAGATCAAGCCTACACGCATGGTGTGTGGCTACTAACAAGTTACATATGTACTCAACATTTAAGGAGGAACTTAAATTACGACTCATTAACGTAGTAATTAGGTATATGTATTAGAATTTGTGCTGGAATTCAAATACTATTGTTAAATATGCTATTTATGTTATTTAAACAAAAGTAGGCAAGGCGATCTTGGACAGATATAGCTCAATGGTAAAAATGTTTGACCTGCAGCATTAGGTCGCAAATTTGAAACCGCTTTATTACATTCACTTTTGGTCAACTGGGTAGTATCACTAGGCCTTGTTGCACTCAGACTGTGTGGCTTGAGTTACGCTGAGACTTTCTTCATAAACCGATTGACAATATACAGCATAGTTCATTTTTAAATCATTATTACGATTTCCTATTACTTACTCATCGTTTGGTGACCATTGACATTCGAATTTATCAAATATGCAATCATTTTCATAGAGTGCACATAATTTTGTACGGAAATAATCGTGAACGAGGTAAGTTTCAACTGGTCGACGAGGCATATTTAAATCCCAAACTAAAATAATTGAATCATGAAACAAAAAATTAGGAATTAAAGACAAAAGTGAATGAGATTACAAAGAGTGAATGGAATTTAAAAAGAAAATCTCGAATAAACCAAGTGAATTATCATGTGAACATTTTAGCCCTGTGATCATATAAAATCCACTCTTGTTTCGTATAGGTGTATTTATTTAAATAGACTTTAATATATTTTGCCTTGTTATTGGTACTAAAAGTTTGTGGAGCATCAAAGAGAGGCTTATTTCGTCCTGTTATGGAGCTCCTAAGCAGTGTACATCCACATCCTTATCAGGGATTGAGTCTAAAAACTCTGGACCTTGCGAAGAACGCACTACTGAATGGTAATATTGAGATGAACCACTAGTCTGGTGCATTTTTGGTCATCAATAGTTCATGACAAAGAAACTTCAAATTTAACAGTCTCTATAAACAGCTTACATTAATGGATATGTGTATATATTACACAATCCGAAGCTGAATTTGATGAAGTCATCAGACTTGCATAATTAGCAATGTTCAGAAAACTAGAGGTATTATTATTCAACTTGCTTGTAGGGCGTGACCTTCCGATGTGTGAGAGCGACAAGGAAATTACTACTACCTTTGACAACTGGAGCTTATCTTGTTCGAATGCATAAACTTATAATTACAGAATGTCCAGTGAAAAATGGCATTTGGAAGTACAATAAAAGTGTGCACGTCAAATTATAGATAATTCCCTATTTATTTGAGTTGTTAAACAAATAATCAGTCCTGTCTAAAAACAAAAATAAAAAGACATAGAGATTTCAGAAAAACGGTAAATACACTGTACCTTTCAATGTTAAGTAATCTCGACTTAAAATATAACGACCGGAATGACTAAAATTTAAATCGGATATATTGTTGATAATTTCAGAGAAAAAACACCGACTCATTGGATCGTCGACTTCTTCAAACGCTGCAAAATAGAGGGAATAAAAGAAGGGATAAAATAAGAATTAAAATCAAAATCAGAGTTATCGTCGATACAATGGTGAAAAAAGAGGAACCTAGATACATGGATTGTATTGGGTTCCGTGTGATCTGGACACAACGACAGGAAAAAAGATTTATGACCTCTCTCTCTAGTTCGTTTATCGACTAGTCCAGCTATACTGCCAGTAAGATCAGTTTAACTAGTCTTTTCAGGTAGATAATTGTATGAGTCTTGAACCATAGTTGGATTGAGTACGAAAGAGAATTGTTTTGTTTTTTATCTTTATTTTCTAATTGTCCACTTGGTTAGGAGCTCGGAGATCAATAAGCGTTAAGGCCTTAGTTGTTGTTCAATGGTCGACGTGTTCATCGGTGCTTAGAATGTTACTGATCTTACTGGCAGTATAGCTGGACTAATCGATAAACGGACTAGAGAGAGAGGTCATAAATCTTTTTTTCCTGTCGTTGTGTCCAGATCACACGGAACCTAATACAACCTAAGCAATGTTTTCCTCCGACAAAACGAAAATCATAACCTTACATCGCACAATAAGGTAAATAGAATACTACTTACATAATGCATGTTCATCGCACAGTGCACGTTGACGCATATCACATAAACGTATGGTGCCTTTACTGCTGCTGTAAATAAATAATGAACACGCCGATGGATGAAATTGAGCAGCTGTTATCACTTCAGACAAATCTTCCATATTCACAGGTTTTAAATCAACAATATCTTATTATTATTTTTTAAAAAGGGGTTAAAGAAAAATAGTCTTACTTCATATTTTGTTGTATATATATGTATACGCAAGTGGCTGCTGAATTACTTATTATTATTATTAATACAACACAAATATCTGTATGAATTTGTCTTAGATAAATTCAATACGAGATCAGAATTTTTCCTCATTTATTAGTCAAGCATAGTGTAAGTACTTTGTGTATGCAATGCGTTGAATAGTTGAAGAAAAAGAAAAACAAGTTGCCACTAAATAATGACTAAATTAGTTTCAGTTTGACTAAAGCTTAGTATAGACTTGCGCAGTGATTAGTCTCCACAAGTTCATCTGTACAACAGCGTTGGTAATTTACTGAGCTACTACTAATTGATAACTAATAGATCAACCGAAATAGAGATCGATAGAATTGCATCAATACCAAGGGTCTCGCATAAACGATATAAATTGTTGCTCAACGTTCAACCAGTCCTACAGGCGGTAACATTATGACTGAAAAGGCTAAATGATGGCTTCCTTTTGATGCTGGGCGACGCGCGTTCATACTCACAAGAAGTACTAGTTTTTGGAGGATTACAGAAACGCATTGCTAGGTAGTACTAACTAGCAAATAGCTTAGATCCAAGTAAATCTCCCTATTGAGTTCCTACAGGATTTAATTTGAAACTCTTCAAAAGCATGCTTACATAATTTCATAAAAGACTGAATCCTAGTCTTGCGTAACGAGCACCATACATAATGAAAAATGACTATTTGTTGTTCCGTGATTCTCCATACTTTCTTAGCCTAAGTTTTCGCACACTCACTAAATGCAGACTTGTGCGCTTGGTTAAGGGACACAATTTAAGTGTGAGGCCCAGCGATATTACATGGAAGTAGGTTGAACCAGTGACTAAAACCTAAGAGTTGAATGCTTAAGTCCCTGCTCTACAATAGCTCATTAAGGTCCAAACCCGGAATCTACTGACCTGTAACTAGGATTGTTATTTATTGCAGCACAGGGATCCTTAAGTTATAGTCAATGTCCGTGATCCAAAAATACCTACCAAAAGTACACACGGGTAAAAACGAAGTTCCTCTACAAAAAAAAAATCTATCTAACATTGAACAAACAATAAGAGATAAAGAAAAGGATACTGAATGATTGGTTGGTAATTTCTAAATTCCATAAATTAATTCTTAAATCATCCGCTGAGAGAAATGTTTCTTGATCAGAATTCACTGATAATGAATTGATAAGATAAGTATGTGCATTAGCAAATATTCGTTTAGGATGTGCATCCATGACAGGGTCAATATCTTCATAATATGGTACACGTAGATCAGTTTTCTGATAAATTTTATTCAATGAAACGGATGAGTTATTCTTATCGTTCAACATAAGATTATCATCATTATCGGTAGTATTAGTACTTCTAGTTGTATTATTTTGTAAGAAGTAATCAGAGGATGTACAAGTACTATTGGCAACACGTCGACACCGTTCAGTAATGCGCCAAAGTTTAATTGTTTTGTCTGTAATAAAGAGGGGAGAGAACGAGGTAGACAACGCATCAATTGTTTGGTAACTATTAGAAGCAAATGAAACAACCCTGTTACAAAATACGTTTACACACATGTAGTCTATCCAATAAATACACGAACCAATCTCATTAAAATATTATTTTACACAATTCCAGGTATATCGGTTTTCTTATCTCATATTTTTAAATATTCCTGGAACAACAGACTTAATATATCTGTCCAGCCCCTTACATTTTCACTTTTGAAAAAAACGTCCATGAAATAAATTAGAAGTTAGAGTCTTCTCTAGTTGCTACTATGTTGTCCTTATAGATTTGATCATCTCCACATCGTTCCACCAGCGCCGCTTCCCCAACCCATGTGACCATTTTGCATCTTGGAAACAGTGAGAAATTGCAAGAGACTAATTTGAGTAATTATGAAGGATAGTCCAGCACGATAATCAGAATGTGGAACTAGACAGAAACAATTACTGAGCTTAAATATTCAGTTTTTCCTTAGCAAGGCAAGATGAACAAAAATATTACTGACCATTTGTAGAAAGCAGAAATTGTGCATGATTAGTACGTGGTAACCATCGGATTTTATTGATTTTCTCTTCAATTTCCAATGATTTAAGATAGTCGAATTCCGGTTCATGACTGACAAATGTACAATACACATTGTGACTGATGCATTTTTGAAGTTTATCCTACAAAATTTTTCAGAAAAAAAGAGTGAATCGTAGATGGACGAGTGAATTACTATGATTTTAGTTTAACTTAATAATTCAACTAAGTATGCCAGAACAGGTATGATGTACATTGTATTTGAGTCAAACAGTTTTTCGCAAGAGTTAGTGACACGCTATCCTGTCGTGTAGCCCGAAGCAAGCACAATGAACTTCAAGCCTGTTACCCTGGTGGTTGACTGTCGAGAATAAATCAAGTAGAACGGAATTTAAACTTGTGATCGAATGACTGATAATAATAACTGTTATGTGGGATACTTGGTCGCGGACTGAAAGATCTCGAGTACTCTTAGAGGTTGCCTACGGTGAGGAATAATAACTGTTTTTGAGGTGACTGAAAAGAAAATTGGATTAGTAATAATCTTGAAGACTTGACAGCGTGTTCACAAAATCTAAGAGGTAACTGCTTAAAGCCGGTCACACACAGTCTTTTTGTGAGTGGTTCTTGATGTGTTAGGTCTATAATTTAAAAATGTCAATAGTCTGGCCTCATGTTAAATATAAAATTGCCAACTACAAATTATACACAATAAAATGAACAAAATAAACGGGCGTGAGGGAGATACATAAAGTGATGGTACAAGTGTTCACGAAATTAAGTAGTTACGCATCAGGAGAAAATCAGAAAAATGGAGGAGAAAGCAATAGTATTATTACTAGTAAGAGTTTGAATTATCCAATTTTTTTATTTTTAAGATCAAGTTTAGATCATTCCTACATACTGGGATACGTGCATCCTGTGAGGACTGTCTTGATATGGCTGTTTCGTTACAAATATTTAGAAAAGATAGATTATGGCTAGCGATGGAAACCAGAAAGTGGGTTTTGTTCTATCTGCACCCCGATGTTGACGTTCACATTGAAATTTGAAGTTAAAGGTTCTGGGTTTGAATCCCAAGTTGAACATCAACACTAGAATGCATCACAGATTTAGCTAACTAGTACCAAAATAGAACGAAACCCGAACACCGGATTCGATCACTAACTAAAATCCATCTATTCCGTAATCCTTTAAAGAAAGCAAATGAAATCGGAGAATAAGGAAAGTTTGAGACCATATTATTGCTTAAAACTGAAAGGAAGACCAAAAACGAATACTTTTGCATCGATTCAATCTGCTTTTTGAAACTAATATGAATTATAGAGGGTTCTTTAGAAAGTAATTAAAAAATCTTTTTAGGTTGTGTCACTTTTCATATTCCCCAATGATATATAACATGAAATTAGCTTTCAAACAGCTAACAGTGAGTAAACTATCTCCCCAACAGTAATAATAGATTCGTTTATTAAACGATGTAGTCTCGTAAGCTAATACGTGTGATAGCCACTAAACTTTGTTGCAAGCGAATATTAGCCCGACATACAGACATCATCAAAGCAGAACCTAGCATAGATATGCTGGACCATATTGTCATACCAAATTAGTACCAGATGAATTGTAAAAGAGATTGAAATAATTTAGCAGTAGTAATAATAAAAAACCAAGCATTGGTGAAAAGATTGCGTGGAAAGGTAAGTACATGAAGCGATCAAGAAGAGAATAACGAGTGAATGCATTTGAGCCAATGTGAAAGTTAAACAGCCATAAAATCATTCACCAATAGAGTTGAAAAATCGAACGTAATTGTGTATCTTAGAATTTTTAGAAAAGCAAACCTATTTTTATCAAGCAGTTAGAAATTGTGTGATAGGAGTCTAAAGTTAAAGAGCTCACCATTCCGCGATTCACACTTACAATGGTCCTCTAAAAGAATTAAGGCTACTACCGATCCATAATTCTGACAGATGAAGATATGAACAAAGACGTTAAATTATGGTAACTGAAATAAACTGTTGAATTACAAAACTTGTACACCAACTATAAGGGAAGAGCAAGGAAACTTTTCTCCGACTTAGAATTTGTCAATCAAAAAGTAGAATTTAGCAAATACGTGAACCAATTTCAGCTGTCACACTATAGCAGCACAAGACGAAATTATCAAGAAACATGCCTGTGTAGTAGAATTAGTACCAATGTCAGAGGTTGTAGAAATAATTAGGTATAGACAACATGATTCACGAAGAGAGAATAAATTTTGGGGGCAAAAAGTGCACAACAATTTTAAGACTTGGAATCCAAGGTGCTACACAGAGGAACGTATTTTTGCCCTTGAGACTGATTCTGATCCACATCACTCAACGTCTCAGAGCAGTGAACACGATAATTACATGAATCCCAACCAGGTAGTCTGCATCAGCGAGCACGACTCAGCCTGATAGTCAATCACTTCATGAACTGATCTCAAATGTGGGTTTGGGCGTCCCTATTCTTATTGCAACACTCCTACACTAAACATTAAGCACCTAAGCAGGCAGTGGATGGATGTACATAAAACATTCCAGAGCGCTGAAAATGTCATCGAATCAACACTAAATATCAAAACATATTAGTCTATAAATAGTTTTTTTAATATTCTCTCTCTCTCTCTCTCTCTCTCTCTCTCTCTCTCTATATATATATATATATATATATATATATATATATATATATGGTTTGGGATTATAGATGTACAAAAACGTGTTAAAGATTATCAACTTTATAACTAACTTCATTTTCTCGTTTAAAAATCACAATTCTACCGCCATGGTCACCGGTTGCTAAAAAGTCGCCAGTTTTATCATATTCAACACAAGATATAATATCAGCTAAAGATCCATAGCGTAAATAAAAGACATTCTATTCTGTTACCTTCATTGACATCTTCACAGGTCCCCTTGATTTGGTTGAAATACCAACCTTCTAAGTTCCCTATAATGAAATGATTGACACATGGAAACAAATATTATTAAAATTGGGAAATAACAACTCGGCTACACATATCTGAAAATAAAGGTGTTTTCAGTCGTTACGATGCCGAATTTCCTTAAGCGTGTGTAAATTTGAATTTGGCGCTCTGAAAGTTACGTTTTTAGTATCTGATTATCAAAAACACTTCCATTTTTTCTCTGAATACCCATGCGCTTCGAATAGTATTACTACTGGTTGATGCTACAATAAACTATAAAATGTTGTCTTTTCGATCCATAAAGACTGTGCTAGAGAGCTATTACGGGAATAATGTACTTATTTCCCGAGTGTTTTGTGATATTCTATTCGCTTGCCGGATCACGTGGCAGATTTATAAAATATACTAGTATATGACACTAGTTGATTGTACAAGTTTCAAAAAGATTTAGTTCACGTGTGGATCATAATGAGTTGCATTTATAAAAAAGGGTCTAAAAGAAACTTCATCCAAACAGCGCCGAACCAAGCTCGAAAGTAAACTAACTCAGTCACATTTCAAAACAATAGAATAGCCAGAAAGGAACAATATGAAGTAAAAAATAACTAAGTCAATAGCTAAGAAACAAAGTTACGTTTAAGATGTACACAGTAAAATTGTGCTAGGTTTGAAGACATTACGAGTTCAATTAGTATGCGAAACGAACAAAGACTTGTGAGCGTAGACCAATAAGCTAGCTATTTGATGCGTGCCAGATCCGCTAACTAGAGGAAGAAGCCCAAGCTTGGAACGGGAAGGTATATTCCGTAAGCCAGAAGCACGAGTGAATAATAACAGACACAAATCAAACGTATATATACAGCATGAAACTGTCTTTGGGAAGCGTAGCAAAAATAGTATACTAAAAACACACAACGGACCAATAGCGTTAAAAATTCTCCCAAGTGGGAAATATGACATGAAGGTGAAAAGTGCGCTTATGGCGCGAAAACGAGGAATTTTAAACTTCCAAAATAAAATTATGAAATTAAGGCATTTACCAAGTGAGCTCAGGGGATCTAACATCCCCACAAAACTGTTCATAAAGAGATCTGTTACTGATACTAACTTCAAACATGAAGGTATTGCTAGCCTCGAAATACATAAACCGTGATTAATAATTAGTTTCTGGAGACAAAAAGCTATACAGATAAATTTATATGTAATTATAGGGATGAAATATTAAAAATAATAACCGAAATATTGTAAAATTCGCTTTCAAATACCCACGTGAACTGACTAATTACCACTGAAGATAAAAAACGCTTCAATTTACTGAAAATTTTCATATTGTCCATGATGACATGCACTATCAAGAAATGCACATGCATTTGACACGGAACAATGGATTTTTGAAGAAAATACTGAACTGACGAAAAACGAAATAGTTTGCAAATGATGACAAAAGTCCTACTATATAGAAAGAAACTGCTGTCCAAATTACCGATTCAGTAAATATTGATAAAGCTTATATGGGATAGCAGTGATCTATCAAATACTATGAGAATTATAAACCGATAGAGCTACAAAGGTCTTAAGTAGGTAAATGCCTAGATCATTAGAATGGTTACCCAATGTTGAAAGGATGAGATAACAGGACTCTTTTCACATTATTTTGTTTTGCTTTTGCGATTCCCTAAGATCCTCTGTGAACAGCACATTAATACTATTTATTTATTTGAGCACACAAACATTGGTACAAAGGGACACCAAATACATATGCACCATACAATAACAATGAGGTTGTGAAAAGAGAGAATATAAAGTGCGTATAATAAAAAGAAATTAATGTACGAGAGTGAAATAATAATCATAATAATGGGAGAAACTGTTCAGCTGCGAAAAATACAACTAGAAAGAAATCTTTCAGCTAAAGTTATGATTACTTTTATGAGGAAAGTTACAGCAGGATTACTGCGGGCTTTCATTGTGAGTCATGTATGACGTCTCAAACCACTGTGTCGCACCACCTCTATGACCCCAACAAGGGAGTCGTGAAGGACCAACAGAAGCCAGTTCTGTACAGCTTTCTTTCATGCTGCGACGCCATGTCATACACTGACCACCTCTCCGATTCTTCCAATCGTTCTTAGCGTCAGGAAAGAATGCGAGATGTGAAATTCTCTGGGACGACATTCATAGTACATGTCCGAGTAGCCGAACTCGTTGTTTCAAGATGATGATATCGATTGAATTATCGTCGCTGTGCCCTAACACGATGCCGAACCTCTGCATTACTAACATGTTGTGGCCACTAGAAATCAGCAATCCTTCGGAGACAACGATAATCAAACACAGAGTCGTCTAACATCCTCAGCTCGGAGAGACCAGGTGTCAGAAGCATAGAGCAAAACTGCTCTCACCGATGTGTTGTAGATTCGACCCTTTGCAGCCAGAATAATGTGACGAAAGCGCCAAAAACGGCCCAGACTGGCATAAATATCTGACCTTCACTGTACGCGAATCGATCTCACTACCAGCACCTGATCAACTACCCAGATATGCAACCTTCTCGACTACTTCTATCTGCTCACTACCCAGGGTGTGTGAAGGATCAAGGTCCAGCCAGTTTTGAAAAGTACTTTGAACTTAGAAGGGGCAAAACACATTCCAACTGATCAAGTGCGGATTGCATGGCTTAGATATCTTCCGCATACTCAAGGTCGAAAAGTCTTTCTCCAGGTAACAGATCCACACCGCCATTACTTACATCCATCAGAGCTGTATCCAGAATGTCGTCGATGGCAAAATTGAAGAAGAATGGTGAGATTGGGCAACCCTGCCTAACCCCACTGCTTGGATGGAAAAATGGAGAGAGGTGGTTGTATGCCCTCATTCTGCCTGAGGGGTTAGTATACAGGGAGTTCAGGATGTCAATAAGCCTGACGAATGGTGAATATGTGGTCGATACAGCCACGACCAGGTCTGAAGCCAGCTTGATTCTCTCGTGTTTGCAGTTCACGAGTCTTTGCAACGCGTCCGATAATTATTGATTCTAGTAATTTAGATGCTATGTTAGTCAAACTAATCCCTTTATGGTTGTCACAGGATGATTATGACCTTCTCTTATATATTGGGATGATAAGTGATTGTGACCAGTCAGATGGGATTTTAGCTAAAATATTAGTCAACCTAATCGCTAAAATTGGACCACCATCCTTAAAGACCTCTGAAGCCAATCCATCTGGACCAGCTGCCCTTCCTCGTTTCAGATTAACTATAGCCTTTTGAACTTCAGCTACAGTCGGGGACCTACTTCAATGTTCCATTCACACTGTCTGGAAATGGAGGGTAGTTGTATAGTAGCTGAAAGCCAGCGCAACTGTTCTCTAAAATGTTCCACCCATCGTTCTAAACGTCTGGACTGGGAGTAGATAGGAATGTCGTCCTTTTCCGAGATAGTCTCACTTACACTTGAATTTTTAGTTCCAGTTTTTTTTGTTAGTCTAAAAAGCTCTCTGATGTTACCTACAGCCACTACCTTTTCCATCTTTTTTGCTTTTGTTGCTGACCACTTCTCACGGTCGTTCTTTAGACTGTTGGTCAACCTTGATCTGATTTGCTTTCGCTCTTCATCGTGTTCAGAGCCTGACGGGACGAGTTTACGAGAATCTATCAGTACAATGGACCTTGAAGAAATCCATTGGTTCTTTTAACCCTGTGGTTTAAGTACTAATAGATGTCACTGCTTTTTCCACAGCTGTTTGTATATCTTTCCAATCAACATCTGGGTCAGCCTCGTTTTCAGAACTACCTAAGTGTGACCTCAGTTGTTCCTGGAATCTACATTTGGTTTTCTCGCTACTCAATTCACTTCTAATGGCTCATTTTAGTGTTGCTTTTTTGCGTCCAGTGAGGCGCAAGCAGATGCGTGCTCGTATTAGAGCATAGTCGGAGTCTAAGCAGGTATTTCAAAATGAGCGAAAATCTTCCATCGATCCATTTAGCCGAACAGCACATAAACGACTGTTAACGGGGCCCCACTCTAACAGCGCTTGTTCCGCCCCCATGCTTAGTGCTATGCCCACACCTGCCAGTCCACAAGAACTGGTCATCGGGTCTCCAGATACACGGAGGGTTTAACTCGTCGGCTCTCCCTTTTGCCGAGGTGAGGTCAAGTGAATGACCACACTGAGATCTTGTATGCGTGCTTCGGAGACACAGCATAAATCAATGGTACGAGATTCTAGGGTTCTAGCCAAGGAGGGCCGCTGACCGATTTGACATAGTGTGCGTGAGTTGAAGGCTGAAATGTGTAGTTTGGAGCGTGGTTTCAATAGACCTGGGAATGTTTTGCGCACTAGAATCGTTGGTTATGGTGACACTTGAGGAAGAAGCCGATAAAGGAAGTTTAGAGTTGAAAGTCGATGTAGGAGGAATAATAGGAATTAAAGAGGGAGGTTGATTATGAATAAAGTGGTCTTGAGTGCTGTTAGAGGTATGAGGCCGATTATCACTTCCCTGTTGCCCACACCGTGGAAGGGTTCTTCTGGAGGTACCTGAAAAGGAAATTGGATTATACGTGGTCTTAGTGACCTGAGAGTGTGACTGCAGTGCCCAAGGTACAACTGCTTGAGGTCGGGCACACACGACCTTTTTATGGGTAATTTTTGTGTTAGCTCCGTACTTATTGAGACCTTAACGTCGGAGACGGATATCCGTGGATATGGTGAGGTGTGCATTTTTAAAGTCGACCTTTTCAAACCCCACCCTTCCTTGTGGGAAGGCAGCATCGCTGCAGATGCTGGTTGTCTGAAGAAAACACCTTACTGCCGTCACACCTCTGTACAGTCAGCAGTAGGACTTTGTCTTCGGACCTTGGGTTTACCGCTTTCAGTCTTGTTGTTCTTCAACCGACTTTTCTGACATGGTAGAAACTTGAAAAACGATTGTTCCAGTCAGCATAGCTCGGTTGCTTCATCAAGATAGGCAAGTCTGACCACTACATCAAGGTAGCAACAACGGTCAGGACTTCCGTCTCGTTAGGTGGGTGACTCGTCACGGGCCATGGAGGGCATGACAGTCTGATCGATATCTCCGGGGCAACAGACCAGTTGAACTGCTGCTCTGAAAACTGCCCATCGTCCAAGACGTCGGTAGATGTTAGTGATTGGCATCCTGTCATCACCGGTTGTTCCACTTACACCAGACTTCTTAATGCCCGTAACTCGTACGAGCTGAAAGAGCTTTCGGCAGTTACCAGACACAGCTGCTGCTGTCAACTCCTTAGTATGCTCTGTTTAGGACGAATTCGTTGGCCACTGAAACGTAAGGTAAGATTAGCCCAAAACAAGGGCATGATCGGAGTTCAGATAGGTACTCCAAAAGGCGCGGCAGTCTCGTATACCACCACGCCAGCGGACGCGATGTGATCAATCTGAGTACAAGTTTGAGATGCAGAGGGAGGACACAAAGTAGCACGTCGGCAATGACTGTACCGGTAGTTAGCACTAGCCAGAAACAGGTTATAGTTTGCGCAAAGTTACAGCAGACAGTCACTGTTATCTGACCTGAAAACAACAAGTCCCCACCAGCCACTTAAACTACTCTATTCTGTACCCAGACGCCCGACATGAGCGTTCATGTCTCCGACTAGTACCATAATATCTGTCGAACGCACATTCTGTAGACGAACGGTTAACTAGTGGAAAAACTCATCCTTGATCGCACCTGGGTTGCAATCTGTCGTAACGTAAACGGAGATGACGAAAGGGCATCAGTTCTCATACCGATTTCTTCTCATTTTGATGGAGCTCTCTAACCAAACTACACATCGCCGACTGTTAGTGTGGATACAATCGACCAGTGCTGCTTAAAGCTCTAGCGCTTAGTGAGACATCAACGTCAGCAAAACCAGACAATGCCACAGGGTCTGCGGATAAACATACGTGAAACAAGCTTTCAGAAGAGACAGATGGAGAGCGAATTTGTAGTACTGCACTAGGGTCTTGAATACGGGTCTCGGACAGACAACAAACGTCGATGTTGAGACTTTCTAAAAACATAACAAGCCCAATATGTTGTCCGGTTTGGATTAGTGTGCGAACACTGAAGGAGGCCAGTTTGAATAGTATACGTGGTTTCAGAGAGACTGGTTTATTATTAGTAGCAATCAGCTTTCGATTAGTTAGCAGCTTGAGGCCGTTTATATAGGACAGGGTTTTCATCATGGACCAGCTGCTGTAAAAGTTGAAATACGCAAAATGATGATAAAGGGGAATAAATAAGTGACGAAGTATAAAAACGGATGTTATCAAATGATTGTGAATATGATTTGTCTGGATGAGCGTTGAAGCAAGAGTGATCCGTCCAGTAATAATTATAATTGATTTGTGTGTGAGCTAAAATACTGCCCGAGTTTTTATCAGTTAATTAATTGTTTATTGTTTTAAACATATAAATATTGGTACGAGGTACCAAATATATATGCGACACATTCGGTGAGGGATGGGATACTGCCCGTAAGCCCAAACCGAAGCAGGATAACATATGTGCGTAGTGAAATACAATGAGTTATTCATCTTAAATCTCATATATTAACCCAAATTTATGATCAAGAATAATAAAAAGTCCAGTTGCAGTTGAAGGCAGATGTTCAGTACCTGAATACTCTGATACGGCCGAGGATGGGGAAAGTCAACAATCCTTCTCAAAACGCTCTCACATGGCCACGCGTATTCAGCCACTGCCAGGGAAGACCTAATCGCTGCGGTGTGGGTGTTGTTTACGAAATTGAGAGGAAGAAAAGTAAATGTCCGGCGCTTTGATCGGGTTGGTGAATATGGATGCTTCGCCTGTGGGAGTTAGTAAACGCTGATTCCAAACCAATAGCGCACATGAGCTCCATAATCTTGAAGGGACAATCACAGTATGAACCAATTATTGGTCGTCTACCAAGTGACTGCATGTCCTTACGTTGCCCTACTGCCTAGTGGATCAGATCTTTAGGTCGAAGGCTTGGGGTGTAAACCCCTACGAAAATCACCTGTTTCGGCTTAGGCATATACGATATATATCGAACAATGAAAACGGACTCCACTAATAACAAACAAAATGTTCACAACAGAATGTCTGTTGGTACATTTAACTAGAAATTCATGTAAAAACTAGTGATAAGCATATACATTGATTATCACGAAAAAAATGAAATTCGTAGAATGACCTGATAAATCATGTCCCAGAAAGATTGAAACACTAAATGAAAAATAAAAAAGATGATTTCCATTACTATCACCTACATACGAACAATTTCGATAAGCTACCTTATGAACAAGAGTTTTTGACTGGTAGTCAGTCATGGTGTAGAACCTTGTACGTATGTACACCGACTTGAGTTGTCATACCTCATGAAAACAGCGAGACCACATTTTTTGGACAAATCTCATAGTGGAGGTAATAACAGTATTGGTTACAATAGAAAAGATGAGGCATCGAAGATACGATTCAAACGAAGCTGACAACTGTTAAAACTAAAGTAAGTTGAATGAGATTTACATCAGTGACCTAGTGACTGACAGTATGTTGATTTATTGAGCACCTTACAAAATCGGTATGAACAGTGATCAATTAACAAGCATTTTTTTATTCAACGGTAAGTAATACTTCTCATGAGAAATTTAACAATCGAGGATTTGAATGATCGATAATGCATATGGTACGTACATTCACGTTAATAACTGATCATTGTCATGTTGGTAGAATAGACTCAAGTTGAATATTGTATTTGTACATACAGAAGGGCTGAAAGCTGAATTGAATCGAGATTACAATAACGCCTTGTGTACTTTGTGCTAGACGTAGTGCAGAGTCGGAAAACATGTATACTATTAATGAAGGATTTATTGGAAATGTTCTGTGTTTGGAATGCTTGAAGTCAGCCAAAATATGTATTGTGTTGCCAAAAGGTCGATTTAAGATAGTGTTCAAGCCAAATTACACAACATACCCGCTCCTGAGGCAGACCACGTGTTAAAGTACTTGATATGATGCAATCTATGGTGAAGAATGCTTCGTGAAGCTAGATGCCATACTCCCACTATAATTCTTACTTTTGACTTCTGTTACTCAAGTCTGTAGACAGAAGGATGACTGAGCATTGAATCATAGCTGATGTTAGTTTGTGATGAAAACCCTAATCGCACTTTGTAAACTCATCTCATAACTCCAGTTTACATGTGATTACCTTATCCTCACCTCTTTGCATCATCGCTGACGTGAGTTAGTGAACATTCTATAGGCTGAAAACACTAGCTCACAATACTAACCCGATTTCTAAGCTTCTACTTCTGTAATAATTCGATATGTGGGAGTGGATTATTCACATCAAAATATTATCTCACTGTTACGTTATTGCTTTCATTTTTCAACTTTGTAACTAGGTAGCGTTTTCTAGTTAGCTGCTAGGTCTTTAAAGGTCGTCAGTACAATATACTTTTACCTGGAAACCTTTTAACCTTATAAGTTGCTACAACGTGTATTGAGTACGGCTCACTGAGACGTGAAGTTTGCATAGCTAGAAAGATTTCCAGGTTGATATGATAATATAACGTTTCAATATATAAATAGAACTAGTCACACAACAGCATAAAGGATTTAGGAACATACCACCCATCCGAACCGCGAGGTCAGATCACTGTAGTAAAACCACACA